GTGAAAATGACAGAAAAACAAGAAAGAACAAAATGAATGAAACGAGACGATCCATCCTCGATTGGCATTTAATTGTGATATTGTAACGTACAAAAATCGTTCGTCGCGAGTTACACGAAAAATCGAAAAATAATCAATACAAATTTAAGATTCTCGTGAATGCTTCATGGATGTGTCACGGACCCATTTTCTAAAACAAAAAAAACAAAAAAAACAAAAAAAAAACAAAAAATGGCACTCTTGCTAAACATTTTACGATCTTATATTTTAAGTATTTTATATCTTAATAATTTTATTGTCTAAGATATTACAACTTCATTATTTTTGTTCTTAAAATATAACGATAGTTTTAATTATTGTCATGATCAAATCTGACAAAAGATAATTTAAATTGCAACAATAGAGATTAAAGAAATTTATCCTACAAAGATTAAGAAATATTATCTCTTCTATTTCCTATAAAACTTATTTAATATACGTGTATATATATATCGTGATATTATGTTAGATTAAAAAAATTTAGCCACCGAATATTAAGGAACAAGACCTTTATAAGAAATAGACTATTTACTACTTGTCGTGCATCACACGTTCATTGTGAATGCGCCATTATTGACTGCGGAGTTACATGTTTACATATTCACCGTGATACATCCGTCGACGAACATCATGCGACATATGTGTGCACGTACAAAATAGCTACGTGCCCTTGTATGTCCTGTTGCAATCTATACACGTATATCTTCGTATCTTTTGAATAATTTCTTTTGCTGGTCTCTTTCGAAAAATGGTTAATCGTAAATCATAATTCTGTTTATAATACTTTAATTTTGCGTAATTCTAATATAGGACTGTACGGAATATTATTCGGGGAGAATATATTATATATAATTATTGCAAAGAAAGGAAACGTGTCGAAATGCTATGTTTGTTCGTTTCTTTGATCTGTTTGAAAAAAAATTTTTAATTCGTCATTATATTCGGAAAATTCTTATTTCTATTTTATCTTCGATCTGTAAATTAGCTTTGGAGCTTCCACAAAAAAAATCGACGGAATTTCCCGTCCCTGATTCGTTTTGATTCTTGAGTGATTCGTAAAAAAAAAAAATAAAAATAAAAAATGCACTTGCACGGATTCTTTCGATCATTGCTCCGTTTTTTTCCGATTAGATGACGAAGTTTCCAATTTTAATTGAAAGTTCTTTCGCGCATTTTTTTTTTTTTTTTTTTGGATATATTAATACATGCACGGTTATTACTTATTCATTAGACAGATAATTAATTACTTTTCTTAGAACAACATTACATTTTTTTTTCCATACATATATATATTTTCTTTTTTTTTTTTTTATTATTATTATTTAGTTGTAATTACATTTATGGTGATGTGCTCTTTTTCTTTTTTTTCTTTTTCTTTTCGTTTTTTTTAAATCACAAGTGTAGTTTTAGGTTAATGACATCAGGAAAAAAAAATCAATCTCTTGCTATTTACTTAATTTCCGTAATTCACAATTTACCCTAGTTTTGTAAGCGATTTATTCACATCGGTTGAGTATATTTGATTTAGGACGAAATTTTATGTTCGTACTTTGAAAAATTTCTTTTATTCAAGTTTTAACGCATTTTTTCTTTTTTTCCTTTACTATCATTTGGCTAACTCTCATGTGTGAAAGTGGTGTTAAAGAGCAGAGAAAAAAGAATCGATACGAATTTTTGCATATCCGTACCACTTTTCATTAGGGAAAGAATACCGGCGAATCGTTCTTTTTTAAAAAAAAATTCGCGATTAAACAATGAATCGAAAGGAAAAATGCGAGGATTGAACTCTCGCATCGAAGTAAATATATAGAAGAAATATAAAATAGAACCAACGTCTTCGAACGACAACGTCAAACAATACAAAAATGAAACAATGAAATTGTGTCGCGTCTCGAATCGTTTTGCCCTCAAAAGTATTTTGTCACGAGGGGACTTCGAAACGCGACATCATATTATCGATATATAATAATATCGTTTTAAATTGATCTTTCATGCAAGAGAATGAAAATCAACAGTTCATCAATTTCATACGAAGCACTGATCATTATACAGGGACACAAAACACAGCCACACGAAACACTATGTCGATTAATTAATTAAGCCTTAAATTTAGAATTAAGTTGAAAGGTCTGAAGTGAAATAAAGATAGAAAGGAAAAGAAGGAGGTAGAGAGAGAGAGAGAGAGAGAGAAGAGGAAGAAGCTGTTCTTTTTAAGCGCTATGGTCTACGATTACATATTTAAATCAAATATCTCAATCAATGTTTTTTTTTTTTTTTTAAAGATAGAACAAATGCGAGAAAGCGCGATTTTTAATCGGTAAAAGATTGATGTTATTTTTTTTTCTGATCCAATCGTGCCTCCTTTTTTGTTCCATTTTCTTACGTGATATTCGATTCGTATATTTTCAGATTTGATTTTAAATATCTTTAATTCCCGTTGTGAAACATCAAATCGTCAAAATTCGAGGCACATGCTTTGTTCTCAATTCTTCTCGCGAAAGAAACTTTTATTTGTATTTTATTTCTATACCAAGAAAATCTAGTGGTCATGGAATCATGCAGCGAAATTCGACGCCATTTTCACTCGCTCTTCGATAATCAATTTATAATATTAATATAATAGGTGTCGTTTTGCGTTCGAATCGATTCGTTTCAAATTCGAGGCGACACTCTCTTCGAGATCACCGATAACGAGAAAAAAAAAAAAAAAGGAAGATCGAAAGTTTGCTTTCTGCGTGGTTCTACGATACACACACATTTATATATCGAATGATAAAAAAAAAAAAGACATTTTCGAAAGGCTAGACCATTGTTAAGGAAAGTACGATTTTTACTTACGGTAGCAAGGAGAAGTTTCTCGTGATCTATTGATTGTTTAATTATAAATTCCATAACGCATCTCTGACGAGCCTGTCGATGACAATATTTTTTATCCTTCTTCCTGCTGCTGCTCGTGAAAGTCCAGCCGTACACCAGCGCGATGCGCGACCATGAAAAATACAATGTCTATTTTTGTTTTTTTTTTTTTTTGTTTTCTATTAAATGGGACTAATTTGACGGAAGATTAATCATAGAGCTCGTAAAAATGTGGTATAAAGAAAGGAAACAGAGAGATCAAATGAGTTGCACAAAATTTTTACACATTATAATAAAACAAGTATCCGTGTCAATCTGATGTGCGGCTAAATTATAAAATGTAGGGGAAATGGATTGAACCGCGACTGCGGTACGTAAAAAAAAAAAAAAACGCACTGACTATTTTAGCGAATCGAGATTCGACCATGTACCTTGATATATATCTTGAGCGTGTTTCCAGGAAGTATGTATGCGTTGGTGATTGCGAAAGGAAGCAAGAATGTGAATATGTATGTATGCGCGTGTGTGTGTATGTGAGCGTGCCAAAAGAAACGTTTGTGAGATTAAGCATGTGAGAGAAAGAGAGAGAGAGAAAGAGGATAAATATAAATATATATATTAAATATATACGGTTGGAGGGAGAATCCCTTCGCTCTTGAAAAAGAAGGAAATGGACGCGTTTTATCCAGAACATGGTTAAAATGAAGATCGTTTATTTTTACGATCGTTCGAACAAAATTCATAAAGCAAAAGCAAATTAAATGAAAGATGAATAATAAACTATTGGGGAAAACGTGTCCGTTTGATTTCTCGATTTCTCGCATGTGCAGAGCGGTTTATGCACCGTTGCACGATCAATAATAAAAGAAAAGCAAAACAACACACGATCGATGGCGTTTAAAAATGTGTGCGTGCGTTGCTTGGACAAAGATGTTATGAACGAAAAGAGATTGTGCCATCGCTCGCACGTGCGTGACAATAATTTTTCCTACGTGTAACCGTTGTGCGTAATAACTTTAGTTTTTTTTCTTCTCCCTTTTGTTTCAAGGCTCACCGCGGAGAGTAATGTTTGCGCGGTAAATATGAAATTCTGCAAGATAGAAATTTTCTATTTTTCACGCAAAAATGTGAATGCACGACGCTTGTATTTTGAGTCAATTACTAAATTATCCGCGCTGCCAGATGTTCATTCCACTTTTAATCGGCCAGTAGTGAAAGACGCGGCGCTGCCATCTTGATCCGTAGACCTAGTTTCCATACTACACAGGTCAATAATATAATTAACAGTAAATTTTAACTATGTAGAAACGAATTAAGTAAATGCGTATTATATATAATTTCATGCTGTTTGATCAATTGACTGTATATTTTTATTTTATAAATTTCATAATTTTATCTATGATAAATATAATTTTACTGCATCATAAAAATCAAATTTAAGTGCAAATTATAATTTAATATAATGAGAAACTGCTTTTATATCTGAGTTTCACTCAGCTGTACATATCATATAATTGTACAAATTATACATATTAGTCTCTCTATTACTTCTTCCGAATAAAATTTACAAGTGAATAAAGATTTTAAAGGAAGGATGATAGATTGACTATTTTAATTTTTACTTAAAGATTTTGGAGACTAGTACTTCGGATCGGAAAAAATTGTAAATTAGTAGATATATATTTATATCAAAATGGTCTTAAGAAAATGACTTTTCTGTCACGCGCAGATGTTTCTCCTCCGTCTATCTGTCCTACAAACCACGTGGCATTTCTTCTTCGAATGGTTTCTCTTACTTTTGTTATTTTTTTTTTTTTTTTTTTTTCTTCTCATTTTATAAGCTTATATTTTTACATCAAGCATCGCTGTACAGAGCATTGTTCCGCGAAACTTTGGTCTGCTTAAAAACGAACGACGATTTAGAAATATAAAAAGATGCAAAAACGAACGAGGTAGACTTATAGTGCACCGAAGGGCACTATCCATTCGAAGAAGCTTATACTTCAGAACCAATAGGTCTTTCATTTTGTGCATTTATTAAGACATAATTTTCGTATTGCCTTTTACTATTATCATCCTCTTTAATAACAATATTGAAAGTTTGTTTCGATCCAAAAAAAAAAAAAGGAAAAAAAAAGAAAAAAGAAAGAAAAAGATCAAGAACTATAAGTGAAGTAAATTAGCACAGTTCAAAACAATGAAAAAAAAAAAAAGGAAGCAAAAGAAAAAGTTAAAGGACTATCGATAATCAACCTATTGTTTTCGAGAGTATAGGCTTCGCGAATCCGATAAAGTTATACAAAAAACAAAAAAAAAAAAATACAGAATGACAGAACTTTTGTTCTGTCCCAACGAAATAGAGGCGACGAGTTTACCGTTAGGCAGTAAATTATATAGATGTAATTAAGGTTTACTAAAACGCGATATTTGCAATGAAAACAGTGAGAGAAACGAGGAGAAAGATAAGAGCTGTCTGTATCGTGGAATGATTGAAGGATTAAATATTAAAGATGACGATGTGATCCCAGGAAACGATGCGATTATCGTTTTCCTTTTTGCGTCTCTTTGATAAAACTCCGTCGCGGACATGATGCAATTTGCTGTCAAGTTTTAGGGTATATAAGAATAGAGTTATATAATGTATATCTATAATTGTACGTAAAAAAACGCAAAAGCAGTACGTTTAAGGTTCGACTCGAGCGCATACATAAGAAATAATGTATTATAAAATATCATATTAAGGGTGCCCGTTTTGAGTGCAACATTTTTTTTTTTTCTTGAGGAGGATCAATCGATAAAAAGCGGGTCTAAGCGAAAGAAAGAAAAAAAAAAAAAACAAGAACAGATTCGCGAACAATTGTACATAATGCGTGAATCGAAATTCATTCGCACGAGCCGTGATGAGCTCGCGAAAGAGAATATTTTGTTATAGTAAAAAAAAAAAAAAGAATCGATAACTGAGGCGAAGAAAAAGAAAAGTTCCATTTTGGGATACAGTGTGTGGCTGCTATGCATTTTCAAACGCACGTTTCGAGTTATCGTAACGGTTCGATCGATATATGGATCTTTCTGCGGCTTCGAGTTTGTAAAGAGAAGTGAAGAAGAGGAGGAAGAAGAACAAATGAACGAAGAAGAAACAAAGGAATGAAGAAGAAGGGTGGCAACGAAAAACGAGATATGAATGCTGTCGTTACGCGCAAGAACGAGATTTCATTATCATTCCGAGGAGATAGACTAGCTTGGTCACTTTCATAATTAAAAAAAAAAAATAAAAAAAAAAATAAAAAAATAAAAAAAAAAACAACATATGTATACCGAGAAAACAGTATGTACATTCCGGTTCATAACAAAATGATCTTTCGAGATCATATTAAATTGCGCGTGCATTATTCACCGATAAATTATTTTTACTAAAGATATATGTACAGTTACATATATCGAAGAGGAGAGAGAATTTCGACTGGACGCAATTCCCGTCGAATTTTAATTTCTTCAAATGGAATCAAAGGAAATGAAGAGAGGACCAAGAAGAAGCAAGGAAGAATAAGAACCGAGTCAAGGGGATAACGGGAGAGCTAACGATGGCGCGATCGACGAGAATGGATTACGATTATCGATTGGCCACCTTTCAACGCGCATCCCGTTGTTTTCTTGGCGAAACAATCGTCTCGTGTTTGCGCGTTCGACGTGGACTTAGGATTGCGTGTGGGTTCGTAAAGAAAGAAGAAATCAAATGGAGGTTATATATACACGGGGCAAAATATGTGGTCTCGTGTAATAAATAAGGAAAAGACTCGAAATTTTTTCGATGATATAATAAATAATTTAATAATCGTCCACACAATACGAAGTTCGACAGAGGAACAATTATTTTTTGCCGTTTTTTCTTCTATCGAAAAAAAAAAAAAAAGGAACTTCTCGAAGTTTCCATCGCTAGAACGATGAACAACTGCGGCGTAGCGAGATGATTATTTTAGAACGGCGATGATGATGATCCTCCGAAGAAGCAAAAAGGAACGTAACTAAGAGAGAGAGAGAGAGAGAGAGCAAGTACTTGGAGAAATAATATGGCGAAGGATGATATATCCAAGTCGTACCTAAAGCGTAATTGTTTATATATCGTAATTTTGGTACTGTTATTCGAGTACGTATACACGCGTTTTTTCGAAGAAATTATAATAAGCGCGTGACCAATGGAGGAGGAGAAGAGGATGAAGAAACACGAAAAAGATGCAAAGAAGCGATTGTCGGCGATAATAAAATTAAAAGATGAAACAGAGTGAAATGGCAGCACTGCGGAATGGAAGATTTAATACGAGTAAAGGAGGAAATATATAATGTCTTTCAAAGTGAGAGTGATTGGTGATGAAGAAGTAAGAACCTCTGAGCGAGGTTGGAGCGGATGTGATGAGAGGATTTCTAAAAAACCATCAGAAAAAAATGTCTTTTTGACAACAAAAAGCACCAAAAAAAAAATCAATATATAAAACCAGTGGAGTGTGTGTGAGAAACAGCGCGAGTGGGAAGGATGATTGAAAATAAAAATAAGGAAATATCAACAACGGAAAAGCTTAATAAAGGGATTTAGGAATAGTAAGGAAACATGATATCGGGAGAGAAAGTAAATATGGCTTTAAAAATATTGGTGTGCAATAATCGCCGAGATAGCTCAAAGATGAATCAAGAAAACTTGATGGAAAAAAAAAGAGAAGATTCTTGGATCTTCTTCCGTATATACAAAGACAAGGATTGCAAGGATCTTTTTTTGTAGCATGGTAAAAACAAATTTTTGAGGCGATTCATGAAATAAAAAAAGTCAGACTTGAAAATATTTCAGTACAGCACAACTACTACACACGCGCATACACATACATACATACATATATACATAATTCATCCATACACGTATGTACATAAGGAAAAAAAAACGAAAGAAGCAAACTAAGAGATTTAATCTTAGGAAAAAATTTATGTGAGTCACGTGCAAAATTCAAATTGAATAAACACTGGACGCACATGTTTACTATTATCATCGCTGCTATCTGTATGTCACGATATATTAACGGAAGTAAACGCAGAAGTGCGAAAACCTTGAAGGAACTGAATGGAAAGGAATACATTCAGAAAGTGAGAAAAAAAATTGATGACCAAACGCCTGAAAATTTTTTCAATAATTAAACTTGTACACCATTTACCATTTTTCAAAAAATATATACATACGTGTATATAAACACGCCATAATTAAAGTTTCTTTCATAATCATCTAGAATGTGAATGGATTTGCTCCTTTCAAGAAAAAACTAGAAGAAGAAGAAGAAGAAGAAATAGAGCAACGAGAGAAAATTTTTAATGTTTTTTGGCATCCTGTCTTTTTTCTACTTATTCTTTTTTATTTCTTTTTCCTTAATATTACGCTTTCACCATCCTTCCTTTTCATAACAATGAAAACTACTGGCCGAAAATGTATGTCACAAAAAAGCATTCAGCTTTATTCGTAAATACTTTTTGATGATAATATTATCCCTGTTCCTGTCTTATACTATATTTTACATGTTGCTCATATCCCGTCCACATTTTCACTTTACTATCCTTTTTTTTTCTTTAGGGCCCTTCTCAGGGCCCGCAAATGCCTCATGTATGGAGTAGCAATTTCTCGGATGAACTAAACATGCACAAGAAATCTGTCCTTTTCAGGACAAAAATTTAAAACCGTCCTTTTCAAGGTGAAAATATAAAATTGTTCATTTTGGAATTAATTCTACAAGTTCTTTCCAGGAAAAAGATTCTACGAAGTTTAATACTTTTCAGGCTGAAATATTTCAAGTACCTGAATTATCAATGTACCGTTCTGCATTTTATTGTCAGATTGTTGGATCCTTTTATTCTGCTGTATTGTTAGGGTATGTATACTCAACTAACATAATGTTTGTAAATTAATTGCCTCGTTTATTATAGTATTTGGTAAAGTATTATTACACTATTATTATTATATTTACAATATTTACAAGTATATCCGTGTGAAAAGAAAGTCATAAAAGTGATGAACATTATTGTAGAACATTATAGAAAGTTCAGAAAATTTAAACATGTTATGTTTCATTAGAAAAACAAGTGAGTTTTACAATATCTTTATATCTTATATATTTTATATATTTTATAAAATAAAACTAAAAAAAAGGTTATAATTTTTATGAAATTTGATTTTTGTATGTATTTTATGAAAAATATTATTGAAATCATATTTAAACATGATATAATGAAAAGTTTTCTAATTCTTTAAAATTTAAATACTTAATTATAAAAAATATCAAATATAATTTTCGAAATGAAACTACATAAATAAATTTAATCCCGAATTCAATCAATTTATTATATTATAAGATTAATTATGTATGAATATAATTTCTTTATCGTATATAAAAAAATAGAAATATTAATGAAAAATATTTATTCATAAAAATATTAAAAATAGTAACAATTCGATATAACGATATTTAGGTTATATTTGTTCTATTTTTCAGTGTGACTTCAGTATGTTTTTCCAACTAAGATGGCGGAAGTCTATTATGTGCTTTCGATGAAATAAGAAGTATATTATAAAATCGAAGAAGTGCTCATATTTATTCAATCAGTTAGTTTAATAGTTTTTTTTAAATACTTTCTATTAAGTATTTTTTTTATAATAATAAAGTATTTTATAAATTTTTCCTATTATTTATTCTCTTTTTTCTCTTCATATATTTCCTTGTATATTTTTACATATTTTGAATTTATAATGTGAAAAATAATAAATTGATAAATATTGAAAATCATGTTTTCAAATAAAAAATGTAAATCATAAAATTTATATATATTTACGTATATATTGTATCTTATGTTAATTTTTTTTGAATTTTGTATAATGATATCTATGAAATAGACGAATAATCAAAATATAACATTATTTTCATCACAAAAGGAAATATCATTATTGTTTTAAGAACTTATGATGTTAATAAATGTGTATTCAAATATAAATATATAAAATATTTATTTAATTCTTTTTCTATTTTCTTTATTAAAATGTTTTTTAATTTTTGCGAGATTATATTAAAAAAGATATATGTATTTATTAACATTTTTTAAAATTATTATTATATATAATAAATAAAAATAAAAGTTAATAAGATTAGGTTGTTAATGTGATAAATTTAGTATTGTTAAATTTAGTATTATACAATAAGTAAAAATAAAAATTGATTAGGTTAGGTTCTTGATATGATAAATTTAGTATTTTAATTTTATTTTAAATGAATAATATTTTACATATGTGTTTATTTTGAACTGTCTGCCAGGATTACAAACAACTATTACTTTCATATATTTTTGCAATGAATTTATCAAGCTATTTTTATACAATGAAATTTATTTTGAAGCATATTACAATACTTAAATAATGAAATATGATGTAATAATCATGTGCTAGCAATATTATGTCTAATTTTCTAAATATTATTACATTTAATAAGAAAGATTAAAAGAATAATTAATATATTTTAAGAATATTTGTTTTATTGTATAAAAGTAATATATTTTATTATATAATAAATACATATTTCTAAGCAGATTATAAGATAATAATATTAGCAATATAACATTTAAATGATGAATATTTAAATGAAAGAAGTTAATGTATACATTATATTTACAATAATTGTCTTGGGATTTTCCAGATCTCTATATTTCCTTGTGTATCTCCAATAGCCACTATATCTCTATGTGTAACAAATAATAGATTAATAAATCTGCTCAAATACATTATTAATATTAATTTTAATTATATTATCACTAATGTTTACCTCTTTAAATTCACACGTAAGCAACTAGTGTTTTTTCTATCATTTATTTCCAAATTCACATTTGTTATGACTGTACCATTTGTAACATTGTACAACATAATTTTCGAACTAGCGCCATAAGTTGCCAATATATCTTGATTTCCAATCATCCAAGTTAAACCTATGATTGTATTTTCACAAGGAATTGACTGCAGACTTGTATGCTAGATATGCAAATTTTTGTTATAGTATTATAATATTTAATATGTAAAGAATTATAAAAAAGAAATTATCACCTCTTCAAAATCATAAATACGAATTTCCTTGTCTGTGCTAGCAGAACAAAAAGATTACGTATTGGCGAATATTTAATACATGTAATGCTACCTTCATGTCTTTCATATTCATCTATTACAGGATCTATTAAAGTTTCATCGTCTAAAATAAAAAAATGATTCAATGGATATGGTTTTTAATAATTCATTAAATTCATTTTAGAAAAATTCATACTTTCGATAGGAACGACACGATCTAAACTACACTTATAAATTCCACCACATAAAGTACCCACAATAAAAAATATCGGATCTCTGGATGAAAAATCAAAAGTGGTAATGCATAATCCAGATTCTATTGCGCGTTCGCGTGTTCCACCTGCGCTACGTGGTCTTGAGTTTTCTATTGGATTATGTTCTTTGGCTATTTTTAATCTAAAAAAATAATATCCTTATAAATGCTTTTAGAAATATATTGATACAAAGATTTTAAAGAAATTACCGTTTATATATGCGAGCAATTGTAAAATTGGCCATCATCTTATGAATAAAAATATATCCATCTTTGCTGGAACTCACCAACAGTGATACATCATTTATAGTTCTTCCTTTCCAGTATATTTGAGATACACAATCTCCATGAGTGCAAACTGTTATTGGTGAAATTAATGTGTCATCCTTTAAATTCCATACAAGAACATCACCTTTGTACAAATAATATTGATAATAATATGTTTTTGTGTAATTTTATAAATATATATATTTATTTGTGTATAAAAATTTTACAAATTACCATTGAATAAACCAATTGCTATAATGGATGGTTCAGTTGGATGATAAACCAATGCTGTTACACAGGCATTAGTTTCTAGTATTTTATTTGGATTATCTGTAAAATGGCCTTCTTTCATTTGATTATATAATTGTATTTTGGATAAATGATCACACCATGCTTGGTGATAAGGAATACCATAAGATACAGCTAATGTTCCTCCTCCAATACTCCAACTCATATCACTTACTTTCATCTAAAAATATTTTGAAATAGTAACATCAAGATTTTAATAATAATAAGCAAAGATAATAATCTTAGTCTTAAAAGATAATGAATACCTGAGAATTTGTTTCAATGCTATTAATTTTTTGTAAAAATTGTGTACTTATGAATGAATCTTCTGAAGTTTTTGGTTCATAATCTTCAAATGCATTGGTTCCATAAGACTCATCCAATGCCTCTAATATACTTGGTGTAACTCGATTTAAAAATTGGGCCAGTCTTTCATAATTTACTTCTGGCTTCTTTTTTTCTTCAGATATTGTTTGAGTCTAAAAAATATGAAATTAAAAAAGTCAAATTTTATTTTTATACATTTAAAATTTATTTATAATATACCTCAACGTTTCTTGTTTCAATTGTTTGTACAGAATTCTGATCATAAACAATTTCTGTTGTTTGAATATTCGTAGATTGTTGTGATCTAAAAGATTTTAAATGATAAAGGAATTATGAATTTACTTAAAAATATAAATACATTTATACACATACTTTGTAGTAGATAATTGTGAATTGAAACTCACGGCTTCAAGAGACCGATTAGTGAACATTATTATTTTCAAGTTTCAAATTTTTAATAAAATTGTTGATTAAATAATTAATCAAGTTTCAATAAAATTTTATTCGACAAATTTACATCTAAGATACATAAATTTACAAATATGAATTAGCTGATGAACATTACAGTGCCATCTAAATGTAACTATTATTATTAAAAATTGATATGACAAACAAATTTACAATGCAAAATATTTATAAAAATATTTAAATAAAACTTGTTTTGAATTATTATTGGAAAAACTATGTTTTTAATTGAAATTTTATAAAAATTAAAAAATTTAATTTAATAGCAAGAATTTTTGATTTTATTTGGCTAATAGACAATTAGTTTGATCTGTCATCACTAGATGGTGTTCCAATGTCTATAATTTGTATAATTTTCGAAAATTACTTATAATTACTAAAATAGGAAATATTTAATTTAAATTAATTTCAAATTATTTATAAGCCTTAATTTGATGCGTTAAAAATTACAGAAATTAGAAAGTTATTCTAAAGATTGAAAAATTTGAATATATTATTTGAATATATGATATTTATTTGTACATCCTGCTGTATTTCAATAATTTTTAATAAATTTAGATTTAAAGAAATTTAAAAGTCTGTTTAAAAATATATATATATATATAAAATTAGGAGTATTAAATATTAAAAATAATTAAAATACATCAATGAAAAATGAATGATTATAATTGAAAATAATAAGTTAAAAAAAATAAAAACATCAGATAATATTAATTATAATTATACTTAAAATATTTGATATCAATAAAAGATAATTAAATAATTGACGGGTTTTAGAAATATATTCCATAAATAAATTGTATATTTCAATTTCATACATTGCGCATATACATTTCATGGCGGTGGTATCGTGTCGTAGTCCGTCAGTCAAAGTACTGTCCTCTGTGGTTTTTCAAGAAAAATTCAGCGTTTAGTGATCAGTCGTGTTTTATCCTTTCGTTTTACATTCGACTAACAAGTCGAAGTTAATTTTCGACGAACCTGTTCTATCAAATCGCCAAGACGAAGCTTAAAATGCCATTGGTAAGTTTATGCACCTTTTACCTCGGTTTTTCTTTCTTTCTTTTACTATTGGTCTGTCTGTTTGTTTCGTCATTTTTTTTTGATATTCCATTTGTTTTGAATTCGAATATTGTCATTTCGAATTTTTTTATCATATGATTGATAACAGACGGATTCATGATAAACAATTTTGAATATAATAGTTGGGTGCGGTTTTGTGGTTATATACATAGACCATGTTCGAAATCAGATAAAATAAAAGAAAGAAATGTAAGACAATTAGTTACAATGCTAATTTTAAGTTGATTTGTAGAAAATTTAATAAAATATTTATTGGATTTGCTTTATAGGGCAATCACGCTGCCCTTACACCCCTGGAGGACATGTCAGCTGGTCGAGGACAAGCAGGTGGGGGGCCTCCTCCGAGTTGTCAGAAAATTTTTATACAACGTGACTACAGTGAAGGCACTGTTGTTAAGTTTCAAACGCAATTTCCTCCGGAATTGGAGAGCAGAGTATGTATTTCAAAAAATACATTTATCTTTTTTTTTATTATAAAACATAAATCATTGGAAAATATAAATATATTTGATTTTTTCTGTTTAGTTGTAATTATTAATGAAATATTTCTATTTCTAATATTATTTCTGTGTGATTAAATAAACAGAATTTTCTTATATATCTTATTCTTATTAATTTATTTACATATATCAAAAGTTGGATCAAAAGTTGCAGAAACAATAATATATTTTATTGATTTAATTTTTTATGAATGAATTAAGCAGTGAATGAATTAATTTATCAATTTATATTTATTGGATATATTTTTGCTATCTTATTTTTCAATTTAGCTGGACAGACAGTCGTTCGAGTATACAATCAATCAGTTGAACAACTACTTCGCAGAAGCTGAACGTGCCAGTTGTTCTACATATTGCGAAGGTTGTCTGGCATGCCTCACTGGTTATTTAATTTATATATGCACAGAGACTCATTATGAAAAGTGTTTAAGAAAAGTGGCAAAGTTTGTTTGTGAACAAAATGACAGAGTCTATAAACCACGTGGTCTGTTATTAACAGATCCAGCAATGCGTGGTCTTAGGCTAATAGAAATTTCAATACTGGATAGACCTGCATCGTGACTGCACATTAGCCGATCCAGGGAATTCTTTATGTGATCCACGCACTTCTGCCACTTTGCTGGGATTGCAAAACCTATATGAGCTGATGAGTGTCTCTGGACATAAATTTTGTTCAATCTCTAATCCTATTTTACAATTTAGTTTGTGTAATGTGAATTTTAGAGAGATTCACAGAGTAAAACAAGAAAATGATTTATATTTACAGTGAATAGCTGTGTAAACATACATGCAATGGTCTCTTTAGTAAATATTAAGAATAAAAATTGACTTATTTGATATAATATATTTGGAAAAGAATCAGCTAATTATGTTCTTAATAATCTTTTCTATTCCATATGATGAAATCATTTATAGAAATTTCATTTACAATTTTTAATCTTGAAATAATGATAAAAAAAAAAAAAAATGTACATTTTCATAAAATTTGCCTGCGAATAAGGACACGATTATTTTTTCTTTGCATGTATGTTTTTTGATCAATTAAAACTATATTGTATCTATATTGTCCACGTACTGAGTTCGGACAAATCGTGGACGCGTACCAACGCCATGTTTTATATAAGTTCAATTTTCTAATGCATATAAGTATACCAGTGTAAACGATCGATAAGAAGAATCTGAGCGCGTATTTATCAAGAACAGCTACACGTTTTATCCATTAAAAATGGAAATTAGAAACTTATCATATATATATATATATATGGATTTTATACACACTCAGATTCTTTTGTATATCGAGTAAACGTTTAAAAAAGTTTTTTACCGTTCGTTTAAAGACTTTATCGTCATCTGCATTTAATAGACGACATATATGAGTCAAATTGGAGTTCCATCTCCGATTAAACATTATCGGAATTTTTAATCTGGTTCTCGAATTTGATTCATCATCATCGTCAAGTACTGAAAAACATTTATTCGCGTCAGTATAAGTTTCGAATGCTTCGTTGAACTTCGTTAAGCTTAAACTATTCTCCGCGTTGTATCTTCCACGATGCTTCTGTTCCACAACCATATCTCATGAATTTGATTCATACTATACCTATGAATACACATCGTCACGATCCCCAGGGAGATTTACTTGCCGTGAACACGATCATTGGAACAATTGATCAAATCGAATTAAATGGAAATTTACTGGCACAAAGTATTTACGTTGAGAAATCTCCGTTGGATTGGCTGAAGAGAAAAAAAATTGTACAAAAAAAAAAAAAAAAAAAAAAAGAAAAAGAAAAGAAAAGGAAAAAGAAGGAAAGAAAAAAAAAGAAAAGAATAAAGAA